AAAAAGTAGCTCTCAGTGTTTTGAATTTCGTAACCAAGAAATTTTCACTAAAACGTTTCAAAATCAGGTCAGTCGATAGAGAATTAAATTGTCTACAAAATGGTTTATTTACTTTTGAGTTCTGACTTTTTTAAAAATTTCTCCAAATAAAACAAAATCATCAAAAACGTCACGGAATTACATACGCAGGTAGAGTTAGCTGGCCAGGCCGTACAGCAGAGTTGCGTTAACTATGCATATGTCCTCTTGCAATCTCAGGCGTGCTTTAAGACCCCGATCTAGAAACGCTAAGGTCATTTTTCAAATCATGGACAAGCAGTATTAGAGCCAGATGCCGAAAACTCGTCAAGCTTGTTCGATCATCGCTGTAACAGGAGAATTCAGTTCATTTTCTTAAATAATGAAATAGTATGTAATGAAAGAAGGTCATGGGTTTTGTCCAGCAGCAAATTCGACCAAACTTTTCATTTGATATACTTCACGTCACGAGCAATAACGAACACATCAAAACATGTTCTGTGTCAGTCATCGTCGATTTCATCGATATTATGTAGGAAAAGCATAAGTGTACACAAACGACTACTATAAAGCTCAATTTACGCGTAAAAGCACGGAAAAAAGAAAAGCAGGAATTTTTAAACAGTTAGAGAAGGATATAAACCTAGAGAGCAATTGTGCGGTGCACAAGTTGCGATGTATATCGCATATAGCACCAAATGTTCTCTCATTTGATAAAGTTAACGATTTTATATGAGTATGAACAATAATTGGTAGAACAACTGAACAACAAAAATCGAATTCATGCTTTGTTAACACAGATAAATCTAAATCAATTTTAGTATCTGGATCCTCGATAAGAGAGTTTAGTCGACTATTCAAGTTATAAAATGATAAGATACGAGTAGTTATTGGCAAATAATCGAATATAATTAATAAAATTTCGTTTGAAAGATCTTCAAGCATAGAAATTGACATCTATACAAATTAAAACAAAACGTTTATTTCGGATGATATCATTAGACTTTCAAGCAGATTTTTCTCCTTTGACGCACAGAATTAATCAATACAGAACGAATGATATTTGTCACTTGTATTGTACAGGTCAACATTCTCTTCCTATGGATAAATGCTTTCTCTATCTAATCGGAACTTACTTGGTGTAAGTGCTTCAGAGTTTTGCAATCGGCAAGAATTGTGCTGTTCTCGAATATTAAACACAGTTAATCCTAATCATTTCTACCTGATCAAAACACATAATATAAATACTGTGTACGTCTTCCTCTGACCTATAGAACGATCACCACTGTAGTGTTATTAACTCTTTTAGTTATCTGCCTAGCCGAGTACAGAATTTACTCAAGCGTGTAGTGATAATATTTCTGTTTTTTTTTATAAACAAATGTATGGGTACACTTGAGATAGAGGATCAGTAGTAAATGAGTCATGTTAACACTACTTATTCGCGTATTTGTTTCTATATAGTTGCTGATGTTGATTTAAAAATCCATGTTTTATCGAGCTATTTCCAGCTACTGCCCTCTATCAAATGTTCTACATATGATTGCTCCGAGACGTCTTTCAATAGAATTTTACACCAGTTTTCTACTATAAATGTTTCTTCAAAATGGCGTTAAATTTTTGTTATCTGTCACTTGCATCTAGAACTGCTAATGACAGAGAAATGGCAGCTTTTAAAAAAATGAAAATGCTTTGTCTTGACGCCATGATGTCATTAGGGATCCAACTATGGAGAATCAGAAAATCAGTATGAGTGACATCTAAGATTGATTCTGTTGATCGAGATGGTTTCTCTCTCCACCGGAGAAAAGAAGCTTACAACCTTTAAATGCCGGCGTTCGACGCATTAAGGAATGCGCATCGAAGCACTCGCCGAAGGCGCGCAGCGAGACAAGCATTGTGTAAATTGTTTAGTAATGGCTCTTGCTTTATCAAGCTTTTAGCTGGTTACAGGAGTTTTCCACCGATTTCTCCTAGTCTGTTTCGGTTTGAACGTATCAACCCTAAATTTATTTTAAATGGGTAATTATTAAATGCGATACTTTTGCAATATATTTAACGTGGGGGGAAACGCCTGCAAAAAATCGACGGAAAAACACGAAAGGAAGCACTTTTTTCCCCATGGTCGTTAGACTATTACTGCCACTATTCATTGATAATTGCGTTATGTCATTTATTATTGCCCCATTGTGCTTAAAATTATTATTATTTAAAGAGAGGCCGAGCATTTGCGAAAGTCTCATCATTTTAGATATACTTGGCTCTTCTCGACGTTTACTCAATCTCATCATCTTCCGATATTTACTACAACATGCCGTCCGGATCTCTCAACGTGACAAACCGAACAATTTTCCACGATCGCAAGACAATCAACGAGTTATTTGTTCGTGTCAAAACACGGTTAACAATGATGCCAATGCGTTATGCTGCGATCGTTGTAATAAGTAAGGCTAAGGAAATTCAAAATCCAAGTAGGTTTTTTATTCCCTTACAGAGTCTGATAGAGTTCAACGTGCTGATTCCGAATATGTGTAATTCATTGAGAAAAAGTTGATTTTTCATGTCAAAAACAGTGAAATACTAAAAAACTTTGAAATCGTAAAAAATACACGTGTTTCGAAAAACCGCTTATGGTCTTTGAATCATTTTATTCGTTATCTACGAGAAAACCGATTTAGAAGATGTGCTTGCTGACTATAGAACATGAATTTTTAAGCACCATGAGTTCAAGCTAGATCAACGTCCGGAAAACCGACATGTTCTGTCCCCAAAAGTTTCAGCACTTTGTAGTTTGAATATTCTCCAGATATTTTCTCATGGTTAGAATCATTAAATTTTTGCTTGAAAAAGTTTGATAGTTGTATATTTGTAAAATTCGTTACTTTATGATAAATCCTCCATTGCGCTGAAGAAAGCTGTGCTTCCTGTTCTATGATTTTCGTTTTTGCTTTCCTTCTCCATGATATTCGACAGTGAATAACCGGCGTCACTGAAAATAAATTTAACTAGCTTGTCAGGGTTTTCCTAGAAGCATTTAGTACAGAGATTGTTATCAGTTCATTTATCTCAGATGAGTGACTATTCAAAAAACAGGATAATCTGTCTTCTCTCTTCAACTCTATTGAATAAGTTCATCATCATCAATTATCATAATGAAATTAAATAAAATAAGATAAAATTAGAAGCAGCAACAATTTTCACATCACAAACCTGGCTGTTTACCACTGCTCGGGTTTTGAGCCATAAGTCGCCACCTACCGACGGGACGGTGGTGTTTGAAAAACCCGACGCCGTTTCAGTGTCATATTCTTTCATCCATGTTCATTTTTGTTTATTGTTTAATATTTGATATTTTGTTTTGTAAGATGCCGTTTTCTTTTCTCCTATCCCCCTTGTTTCTTTTTCAATTTCGTATTTGTGTAAATAGTTTATCGAATGTAAATTGAAAGTTAAATCCAGAAAACTTCATATTCACGGGACGCACTAAAGGATGCAATCCAAAGGAAGGAGAATAACTGCCACCATCCTATTTTGATACAGACTTGGGAATACAGAGACCGAGTAGAGTTTCATCCTCTAAGAGATATCGAAAGCGACTGACAGACCACATGCGAATGCAAGAGAAAAGTCATTTTTTCTCACCCTCACACGATCTCAAAAACTGATTTTAAACAAAAAGGTATTTTAAGACACCAACGCAAACACATTTCATGTAAAACTGAGATCATCAGCCACATCGAGGCAAGCCGTATCAAGTTTCAGAAAAGTGTCAAAACCTAAGAATTAAGATTAAAAAAATTACTTTCTAGTAACTGACTAAGTGACAGTCGATTATATTTCGTTCCCAGTAAGCGAATGGCTTTTTTTCGAATGTTTCTAGTGTTTTAATGCGAAAGGACTCGTTCAATACCACATGCACTTCATCCACTACAACAAAAATGTTTCAGTTAGCTGACTTGACCAATCTCATGTCTTTTAACATGGGATAACCACTCGAGATGATTGTATCGCCCATTAGCATTGAACTGTTCAACTACTTCTTCTGGCGAACCAACTTCTTGGGCTCAACGATCCTCACTCCAATGGGAAGCCTCAAAAACCGATTTTTTGGCGTTTTGGCGATATTCCTAAGCTTTCTAGCAGAAAACAGTTTGTTGAAAATTCGAGCTCGATATCACTTGATAGAGCATCGTTTTCTGAATCTACAGAGGTGCTTTTAACATATTTTCTACGAGAACAGTGGACGCTAGAGCTTGGAAAGCCTATTTTCAGCGAAGGACCAAGTTCCATAAACGTTTTTCCTGACCCATCTTGTCACTTTGAAAAGCTTAACGGCGATATTCATGATCAGAATAACCGATTCTAAATGACTAGACGATTCTAACGTATTCAGGGGTATTCTCTGGTATTCGCAAATATTTTCAATACTTAGAATACCCCCGAATCTGCTTTTCCCCCCGTGGTTACAAGGGACAAGCCGTAAACGACCGATAAGTGTTTGACACATCTTTCTCTAACGAGTTTGTAACCTGTTCTGACAGAAAACCAGTTTATGTCACAATATCCTTCAAGAAAAATGTTCTGTGTTTTTTTCATGAATAAATTAAATAGACTATAAATGATTTATGAACAGATAATGGATTTATTAATAGAAAAATGAAGCGTGAAAGAGTCTTTAAACATTAAAAACATATCATTCTAAATTCGTGTAGTCCAAGGATAGTATTAAAAGTTAAAAACATATGACAACGGTTAAATCGAATAATGGTGAATAAATAAATAAATTCAAAGAATAGTTTAGAGTTTTGATTTTATAAATGATCCAATCGTTAACAAAACGACAAGAGTTATGATGACGGAGAAACGATTAAACATGGCTTGTGCACCACAATATACTTCCGTATTTCCATCGGCACCTGGTGCTGTACATGATGAGGGACTTTTGATTGAACATCCAAGACTGTTGCAGGTCGAGGGTGTTTGACAAACGGCAGCAACATCATAGGAAACAACTGGTGTTGATGCTGGGGTACATCCTTTCGTTGTACAACATTTACAAAAACATTGGACAGCTAATGCCGGTTGAAGATTAATCACTACTAACGAACATATGAGTAATAATACGGTAAACTTCATATTAGTGTACTGTGTTAAAATCTAGAACAGATATACGATTCATTTTTCTTCCAAAATTGAAGTATTTCTACCATACTTCAGTTGCATTGAACAAATTCATGAATGTCAGTTCTTTTAGAATATGTGTTCACAAACTAAATGATGAAAAGAATTGTGAACACATTTCCTGATAAAACAGACGGTTCTGATGCCACATCACTTCTTTCACATGCTTTTTAAAGTATTTTACCTTACGAAAAATGACTAAACTTGTCCCTCATACGTAAACACGCATTTCAATCGCTTCATAAAAGCTAAAAGAAAAATAATACACAATCCTATGCGGTGATCAGTTATGTATTGTAGAACAATTCTTTTCAGAAATCTTGTTTTTTGCTTTTTCTTCCTTCCAGTTTCCTGTGTTCGATTCTTGATTAGATACAGCTGTAGTATTTCTGTTATACTGCACATGTAAAGCATAAGTATAGTCATTGACAATAGTGGAAATGGTCGACCGATGCACATTTCTGAATTGCCGTTGGTTAGATCATCCTAGTGCAAGTACTAAACCATTGGTACTAACTTTAGTACTCATCGCTGGTAATGCGGTAGTACTGGTAGAAAATCGTTAGTATTTCAGCACGAACATAACTGTCGTTTTCAAAATAGAATGTGCGCGACTGCGAGTCGAATAACTCTGAGACCTCAATAGCTGCGGACCTCCGTATTTCACCATCGGGTAGCCATGTCCTTGGGACATAGATATACATGAAAAGAAATTTTTTTGACAGAGCTTTGAAAGGTTTTCTAGAAGGATCTCTGGAAAACCAGGTGCGCAAAGATAGAAGGTTTGACAGAATTTCCACTTTTAGGTATTCATTCGATAGCCCAAAGAGTTTTCTACATTTCTACGCAACTGCCGCATTTTTGTGACTTCGCATTCGAAAACCCGACCCCAAATGCAGAGAGCCCGAAAAGTGACATTTTCAGTGGCTTTGGCGACTTTCGCTGCTTTTTCAAGCCTTCATCGAAGTCAAATCGTTAAACAGAATGTATATTTGGGATCAGCGCGCGAAACTGTGTCGAATGACATGTCTTTGGCACCATTTGATGACTTTCATTTTCGACACTACACCGTCGTATCACGTTTGGGACTGTGTCATATAAATGGTGAAAATATTCTACAATACATAACTGATCACCGCATAGGATTGTGTATTATTTTTCTTTTAGCTTTTATGAAGCGATTGAAATGCGTGTTTACCTATGAGGGACATGGCTACCCGATGGTGAAATACGGAGGTCCACAGTCATTGAGGTCCTGGAGTTATTCGACTCGCAGCCTCTTTCGCCTTTACTCAAAAGTCATAGTTGCGAAAAAATACGCTCAATGGGTGCCGACGTAGCCGGAACACATAAAAATTTTCTAGCTAATTTACTGAGACCTAGATAGGTATTCGATTTTTCGGAAATAAGACTACTTTGCATGCCCGTCTGCCGCAGAAAATTTTCAATTTCTTCTGAAACAGAAGTTGTTGTTACTTCAGCTTTCATTTTTTTTGATAAAGAAATATTAGATAAATGCGGAAACAGTTGTTTTCTTTTTGTTGAATTGCTAGTTACTCCTCCTGTGAGTTCCGGTACATCAGCATTTCCTTCGTTTTTTTTAACTAGATTTAACTCAATGCATGTAGACCGTCCTTAAATCGCATTGAACTCTGAACA